TATCATGTCCGATTCCTGATAACAGAGCTGAACTCCTTGTGAAAAACCTATCCATGAGGTATCTCAACGTAGGTCATTTCATACAAGAAATCTGTGCCGTGGTGTGTAGTGGTGGGGAAATGAGATATACTGATTTCAACAATATATGTCGAAAGATGTCCCGTGTTTAATGAAAATTTGGCAGGTCTCCGGAAATCTATTATATTGTATTTTCGTAGAGATTCCTGGTGCATGATGGTTTCTTTCTGAAAACGTCATGTAGATATTTATTTGAATTACCAAAACAACTCCACTGGACCAGTTGTATAGGTATTCTATTATTTAAATCGTACCAGGTTATTCAATAAGGGTGACGAGGTACTGATGCATCTCAGGAACTAATGGTTTATAAATCGCGTCCCCTAGCTAGGGAGGTGAGAATCAGAATGGCATGAGTGGTATTTCAATTTCTCATTTTATTCGCCGAACCTTCTTTTCTTGCACAAGACCTTGTTGGAAACATCATCAGTTCCTGAGATACAGTATCTCGTCACCCTTATTAAAACACCTGGTACATAATATATGATACCCCAGTACATATGAATTCAATTGATCTCCAAATATTGAATGATATGCAAAAGCATTATCATACCATTACCTATCCTTTCTTGAGGATAATTATAGTGATAGGTTATAGTTATCTTTATTCAACTCATCGATTATTTCACCATAAGTGTTCATCACACTTTTGCTGTCAAACAGAAATTGAACTCAATGCAGTTTATTGGGTTCATCAAGAAGTACGACAGCACCTCCAAGTCTCCTATGGCATTTCAACCACTGATCTATACATAACAAATGGAAAAGCAATACTGTAATTTTTCAGTTTTACGCTAAGATGCACTTATACCTAACAACTGATCGGATTAGAAAAGGTGGTTGACGAGTATGCGCCGTGCGTATGTCGTATACAGGGTCAATCTTGGATATTTTTGAACGTGAGTTCATCATGGCTGTTACTGTCATTCATGCCCTAAGAATATCGAGAAACAAATACGATGGACATACAAGCAAAACTCCTCAAGATAGCGACAATAAAAGAACAAAACACGAATAAATAGACACTTACACACAATATACCAAACAAAAACAACGTGAAAATGGCTGACGGACGATTGATAACAAGATGACAGAGGATCCCGCTCTGATAAAATCTACAACGAGTATAGACATACTTTCTGACAAGACACCAAAACAAAAAATTCACGATATGATGTGCTGACGTTGATACAAACTGCGCAGGTGCCTCAACCAATTTCAATGCACGCTTGTTGGTCGTGATGTTTTTTCACAGATCCTCAGGAAATGTTTTTCCATTTGTTGTTTATCCCTTTGAGTTCGGAATTAGTGTTTTTTGAGATTTTATTTTCTGAAAATATTTTATGTGACCAGAAACATCATAAGAACAATGAAGAATGTAAGAAAAAATCTGAATCGTTCATTTTTTTTTTCAAAAAAAGTGGTTGCCCCAAGTGACCAGGTGGTTGCCCCAAGTGACCAGGTGGTTGCCGCAAGTGACCAGTAGGACTACGTATACTCATCAGGTGCCAAAAGCTACTGACGCCATCGTTAGTGAGTTGGAACAATGACGTCGTTTGAAAAAGGTAATAGAATATTTTGTTTTTGAACTGAGCTAATTCATAGGACATCCTCTGAAACGTCCTCTGAGATGTCCATAGGAAATCTTCTGGAACGTCCATAAGACTTCCTCTGGAACGATCATATGGGACCTTCCTGGAACTTGGATGTTCCAGCGAGGTATGAATTATTCTCGAATTCCAATTCATTCGAGCCTGTCATGAGCCACTGTCATCTTCATCAATTCGGGCCACCCTTACTCTCAGAAATTTGCAGGTTTCAACTCCTTATATCACAGACTGTTCAAAGTTCCCATGAATTCTAAAGATTTCAAAAATGAATTGAAGTAATAAAACTGATTGGGGACACAACGGTTTTCCATCCTTTTTGATTGATTGACATCTACATGAACATTTACAAAATTCACTTGACATCAATATTTCTCTTCATACTCTGAACAACATTTCACACATTTTAGTCAATTCTAAATATAAAATTTCGTTACTTTATAAATCAGGTGTTTACAAGGTTTCATATTCGTATATCCTAATTGCGATTCACAGTATATAGGCCAGATCGGTAGGAGAATTCAAACCAGAGTAATTGAACATTGTAGATGATCTAAAATTCCAAACTATCTCATAAAGATGAATATAACACTAGCAACTCTTTCGCCATTCGCCAATATCCAATCACAGTTTTGACATTAACAAGGATCTTCAAATTTTGCTTATTTTTCAGATCGGACAGTTACTCAATCTTTCAAAAATTTCTCCAGATTAATTCAACTCGTTAAGACCAAAACATTGTTTCTCTCAATGAACAGACACTCTATGATTGTCAAAAGTTTTCTCATTCTCTAAGATTTCAACAACCTCAATTTTGTTTGCCAGTTCTGATTCTACCTTCCTCGGGCATCAAAATTTCCATACCGAAATAATTTTTTCATTTTATTTTCAAATGATTACATTTCACGTGCTTCTGCTAACTTTCTGTTCAATCCGAGTCCCGGGTTCGAAACCTTTCCTTTGCTCGTTCCCTTATGTCCTATGATATGTGCCTTTGTCTCAAATGTCACTTCACATCTCAGGTTGGTGATATTGCAATTGATCAAATCATTTGGCCATAATTTAGTCAGGTCATTTTGGTGAATATACCGAAATCACCTACGGTATAAACGTCGCCAATCCATTAAAGTTTTGGTACAACATATTTTTATTTAAATATTAATAACTATTTACAAAAATTCTCATAAACCTAGAGGTATACAAAAATGCTGATCAAAAATCTTGATACTCTATTTTTTATCCATAAATGAATGATTTATGTGTGATTATACGAGATATTGATATTTTCATTCAAGAAATTCTTTCCATTTTATATACACAAAGTATAATCATAATAATTATAAACACTCTCTGTCAATATATGTATATGCTGAGAATAAATTCACAATTCAACGACTATTGTTATAGGTGTCGATTCGAAAATGGCAGTTGAAAATGCTTGTTATTTCACAAATCCAAGAAACGATAGGAGAAAAACAAGAAAATAAAGAACAAGAGGAATGAGAAAATAAGACCGAATCATCTTAACTTTTCTGAATAACTTGAAATAGAGACAATAAGCATTGCCAATTTTAACAGTCAGTCAATTTGGTGCGCCTTTCTTGACAAGAAAATACCGCAGAAGAGATGACCAAAGTGTAATCGATTTCCATGAAACTGAAAATTTACTATATGGGTCACAAAATTTGTATATATTATATTTAAGTTGTTTCGAGAACATGAAAACTTGTATCTTCATGGATATAAACAAAAGACAAGCTACTACTACATGACTCTTTTGTTACCCGCTATAATATGAAGATGTTTTCAATGGGGCTCTGCTGTAACGATTCACGAATCGTGATTGTCTCATGCAATGATATTTGATATACATGGTGTTTCGAAATCATATAGAGAGATTTCAACTGCGGATTCTAGTAACAGATATTGTAAAAAAAGTACACATGAACAAGGGTCCAAAGATAGCCTATCAGGGAGTTATAGCCATCTGAAGGCGAGCCCATGATTTTTTGTGGATATTTTCGAAACTTCTTATTATAAGGGTACCTGATTTTCTCAAAAATGATGATCTGATGGAAAATACAATCTTTCAATATCTCCCTCCGATGTTTTGATTCAATTATCAGGGATGCGATAGGAAGAATCAATTGTAATATAATTATTGTAGCAATACCCTATGAAATATCACCATTTTTTGTACGCAGCAGGATTCTGAATCGATTCATTTCGAAAATGGTGAATGCTATGGACACTAAACAAGAGTATCATTTTTAAGTTAGAAATGGTAAGATTTCCATATTCCTTGGTCAAATTACCGAAAATTGCATGAACAAAAATTATTATGGAAAAAGTGCTTAACTCCTTTTTTCCCCGCTCCTGGTGAAAATTTAAGGATATTCTCAACATTTTCGAATTGGGATTGGAAAGCTAGGTGATATGTACAGAATTTGAATATTTTTCTTATATATGTATAAATATATATTCATTTATTGAACACCACTCAACAGAAATCCATCAACAGGGTGGGGGAATTATAGGTACAATAAATATGTAGATCAATCGAGTGAATACGGTTTATAAAATATAAACAAAAAACCTCCGTCTCGGGATCGCCTTCAGATGGCTGTAACCCTCTAAGTGGTCCTTTCTGAACCCATGTTTGTATTTCTGGACTCATGTATGTATTAACTTTTTTAACTTCTTTGTTCCTAGAATCTGCGGTTGAGATCTTTCTATGTAATTTCGGGATACCCTACGACAAACTGCCAATGGCTTTAGTAAACAAAGTAGTATTCCTCAAAATAAAAATCTTGTTTTCGGCAACATTGCTAAAGATTCCTGAAAAAAAAAACAATGTGATTTACCCGAAATTTGTTGAATTGAAATTCATTTCACTTGAGCTGTCAGTTGTATTCTGTCACCCAATAAGTGTTTCATGTCATGAACTATCATTATGACTGCAATCGTCAATCAACTATCTGTTCCATGACTGTAGAGTTCAATCATTCCTGTTTTCTAGAGGAGATACCTAGGATCTCTTGTGTTCCTATATAATGTAATAAACCTTCTGTATAGATATTCAGCAAGTGATACAAGTTCATTGTTTTCAAGATATTGTAGAACTCTGAACTACAAACGGTTCGTTTATTCAACTTGATTATTCACTTTCCTTTTATGATAGCAATGTTACTGAAAACTATCCATACATGAATTCAACGAATGTAGTTAGGGATACGATTGTGTACTATAGCCTATATGGTAGTTTGTGAATACTAAACAGTTCGTTCATAATTTTTCTGCGTCATAGAATGATGTTTAACTTGGCGGAGGCGCCGGTGTGAACTGAGAACAACTAGCTACGTTCTCCGGCCAATCGCAAACGTTCTGGTCGGGATTGAAGACTAAGTTTGCAGGACAAGGCATGTGATGTTTTCTCTCTCCTTCGCACATGTAGTACATCTTGCAGTCTGCCTTGTCGGGATGGTAGCTGATATGGCCTTCTTCCTCTTCACAAGTGACTTCGTGTGCTGAAATTAGGGATAGTGATATTTTTGCGAAGATAATGAAACTGAATACAATTGTGACTATTCCTCTGGTCAAAAATCAGGAACGCACCTCGAATAATCTTTTAGTAATATCTACAGTTATGATTCATTCTCTGATGGTTCAGTTCAGAAGTAAACGATCTTTCTCTCGTTTTGAATATTGTTATATTTTCATTCTCTATTCAGCTAGTATGCTGCAAGAGTTTGGAACATTTGAATATGTCTGTTCAATCGCGAACAATTCACTCAATTGCCCTTGAGACCTATATCTACTAATTGATGTGCCAGTATCAGCCTAAAAGCTGTATTCATTAGGGCTTCTGAGCACTCTGAGATTTCCCGAGCAATAAGTCAACATAGAATAATTCGACTGATTTTGTTGCTGCTGGGCTGTGAGAGTACCTGAATAACATACATTTTTCTCTCTACTGATTTCTTGAATCTTTTCGTGCAATTATATAAGATATTATTGACATCAGGAATGTTCATTTTATTTATATTTGTATTATTTGTATTTGGTTGTATCTACTTATTGTCTTAGAGTTCACCTTCATAACAAAGGCTCAAAAACTTCCACAAGATTCAGACAGCAACTTTTTATTTCGGCATGGAAAACACTGATGATATAATGTGTCCTCCATTGATTGAACCAAATGGCTGTTCACAGAGGCCTTTAGCCAGCTAATACCATATTTTCTGGTCGGATATGCATTCTGACTACTAATCAACTCTCAACTAAAGGATTCTATCCAATGTAACATGAGAAATTCGTTTTGGTATCATCTGTTAGTTGCTTCGATTCAAAATAGGTATTGAAATTTCACTGCAGAATGATCATATACAAACTCTGCCTTGCCTTGAAACGCATCTGCAATTACAATATAATTTTCTCGTCATGAAAATATTGCTGAAGAAACAGGAAAAAACTTTCTCGCCTGCTCATCTGCGTCTTCAAGGAGGTTTTAAGATCATTTCATAAATATTTTCACAATCATTTTTTGTACTCACGATTTTTGGTGGTGTATTGTCCTGTGGATATACTCGACTCGTATGGACCATTGTATTCTAACTTGACTTTGTAACCTTCTAGTTCTTGCCTCATGGCATTGATGAGAGGATATTTTCCACTACCGCAACTTCCTCTGAAGTCGTCCATGTCCACAGACCAAATCATTATCCCTCCGAAGCCTTCTTCTTTCAACCAAGCCATCTGAAAAAATTATCTCAATAAATAAACCAATTTCAATCATCGATATACCAGGTGACACAGGAGACATATAACATCGGCCTGTAGTTTTTACATTTGAAAAGATAAAGATTTGAAATTCACAAGGATTATAGTATAGATGATGCTGATGCTTTCCTTGAACCCAATGATAATTTCATTCAATCACCTGTTTGATCGGGAGTAGACCCAACTTCTTTTTTCAAATGCAGCCTTTCCTATTTGCCTCAAAATTCTCTATTCAACTAGGTATCACAATTTAATATTCGTTCATTTAATGGTTGTTACATTGTATTTTATTGAAATACATCAAGTTGGCTGTGGCCCAAATACAATGACATTTGGATGCTTGATAGGCTTAGAAATCCAAAGATCATTACTCGAACGATATTATCAAAATATTTTCCATACCCTAATCGGTCCCAGAAGATTGCCAATAATTTCATTGATCATCCGAGAATAACTCGCGATATTGAGAAAACTAAGAAAGAAACTCAGCTTTTTCCATTTGGCTACTTGTGAAGAAACTAATTGTCTTTCATTTTTGTCATGAAGCCATAATTTGATCATCCATTTGGATACATGAAACTGAAATTGTTGTAATAATTGATCTAACGTCCAAATACATCTGTTCATAAGGCTACAGGGTCTGTAGTTCAATCTGCAGAATTTTTTATACGTTGTTCAGGGACACTTGTTTTCCACAATATTACATCTATAGCAAGAGTACATTGTTCTACGAGACATTTGGCAGGAGGTGATTTGTTTTCTTGCATGTCATCGAACGATTGGTGAAGTTTCAGCCCCTATCATTTTTGTCATCTAAAACTGAAGTTAACTGTTGAAATTTGAGTGATCAATGGACCATAAACTCGATAGTTGTATATGAAATGTATATTACAGTTCAACTCACCTTTGTCTTCAAACTCCTCTCATCATCGAACCCGACCCACTGATTGTCGCGATACGCGAACGGCACCTGCTGCTCGTTGTCCCACACCAAGGTCGTGTTGTCCTCGTGCAGAAAGTCGCAGATCTCGTAGTAGCTCATGAAGCCCGCCTCGCTGGTGTACTTCCCCGCCACGCCTCCCCCGCTGGCCGGGGCGCCGATGTCGAACTGGGTAGTGTTGACTAGCTCGAAGCTGCGCCCGTACGTGGGCATGCCGATCATAAGCTTCTCCTTAGGGGCACCCTGGCGCACCCATTCGCGGGCTGAGTAGTCCTAGAATAGGTGAAAAGTCAGTTGTAGTCACTGACATAACTACTATCTAGACCGCTACCGTGAAATGAGGTGAATAAAAACTATTTTTCCACCACTAGCTATAGAACCTACCATTATTCACAACTCTTGAAGGCGTGAAGTGAATTTTCACTACCAAGGTAGTTTTCGTCATATTATTAACCACTAGTCAATAAAGACATAGTCTCCTCTGTTATAAGCAACCCGAATCCACTGTTCTCATGCGCTATTCACAGGAATGGCACTCGAATTAAGTAGGCATTTATCAATAACGATCGATCGGAATAACGACTTGTCATATGCTGTCATATGGTGATTGGATTGTAATCAGAATTGAAAAGAAGTGCCTCCATAGTGACATAGGTCCACATTTCAGTTTCACATAACTATGATGATTGAGATATATTGCTAGTGGTGAAAAAAATGTAATACACACCTGGGTGATAATGATATTCTTGACTACCTTGCTGTATAAATAACTATTTCTACTTCTCTAAGTTGTCGAGTTGATAGTCACATAAATGATGATCGAGGAAAAAAATTGAAAATGTGTATCATGGTTATTGAGGGCATGTTACAAAGTTTTCAAAAGTTTCGAACTTTAAAAAAATCTAAATATTATAATGTTCTATTCCCCGGGGTGAGAAGACATGTCGAACTAGCTGGTGATGAGCAGCTCGAAGCTTCGGCCGAAGGTGGGCAAGACGATCATCAGTTTCTGTTTGAAAAAGCCTTGTCTCATCTTTCCGCGTGCTGTGTAGTCCTAGAATGAGTGGGAAGTGAGTTGGAGTCACTGACATAACTACAGTCTCTGACTTTTCAGAGTTGACGAGTTGATAGTCACATTATTGATGAGGAACAACAATAAAAATATGTATCATGGTTATTAAGGGCATGTAACAGAGTTCTCAGAAGAGTCAAAGTTCAAAAAGATCTTTTATTCCCCGAGGTGAATAGAAATTTCGAACTAGCTGGTGATGAGCAGCCCGAAGCTATGGCTGTAGGTGGGTATATCGATCATTAGTTTCTGTTTGGGAAGCCTTGTCTCATCTTTTCGCGGGCTGATAGTCCTAGAATGAGTAGGAAGTCAGTTGGAGTCACTGACATAATTACTATCTCGACCGCTATCGTGAAATGAGGTGAATAGGAAGAGTTTTCGACTTCTCAGACTGTGTAGCCGAGTTGATAGTCACAAAATTTTGAATGAAAAGAATTTTGAAATGCGTGTCAGGGTTACTAGAAGACAGAGCATGTAACAGAGTTTTGAAAAATGTTAGAGTTCAGAATAATTGTAATGTTGTTTTATTATTCCCGGGGTGAATAGGAATGTCGAACTGGGTAGTGTTGTTTTTGTTTGTTTGTCTTTGGAGGCACCTTGTCTTATCCATCCGGTAGCTAAGTAGTCCAAGAATAATCGAGAAGTCAGTTGGTTGGAGTTACACTACGAGAAGAACGATGGTCCGTTTCCGCAAGTACTCTAGAAGACATTATTGGACTACAACCATATTACAACTTTGTTGTTTGAAATGAAATATGACTGTGATTCATGACATAATCATCATCGTTCAATCAATATCAGCTTCTCTTTGGAATAAGTGGGAAGACAGTTGGAGCTGCACTGGGAAACGCGACGGTCCAGATGCACAAGTAGCCTTGATGACACTATTGAAGTACAGGATCGTTATCCGAAATGGAACAGACCATGTTTCATGATATAATTCATGAATATTAGACTAATCAGTTATATGATGTATTTCCATATAGCACACGATTGTCTGAGGACATCCTCAGAATGGCGGCAATAGCCTCGAAAGTTTTTGCTTCTTTTGATTCCATCTCTCACAAGATTCCCGGAAGCAGAAGCTGGAGGTACTAGTAGGTAAAAGTCAATTAAGACCGTTTTCAAATAGCATCTCGATGATCAGGGGTAATCATTCTCAGAATTTGGTGAGTATGGTATACATAACTATATACCTACTGCCTTTGTTTCAGACAGAGTATATAGGTACCAACTTATGAATTTTACACTCGCTGATTTCTGAAAACAAGTACCAATGGTTCCGGAAATATTTTGGAACTAACTTAATTGACATGTTTACAATGAAAATTAGTGAATTACTGCAATGTATAATCCATATCATGAAATATGTAATTTTCTTATATTTTAGTTTCATTATTGCCATAGTGAATATGTATTGATACTGTAATTTATATGCGATGTTAAAATAACATTCCGGAAATAATTCAGTTCGAGAACTTCAAATCAAAAAATGAATGTATAGTGATAATCGCTGATGTACACATACACATTGGAAAACTGCCGCAAGTATCGAAAACTACATAGGATAACATTTTAGGTTCAATATGCAGATACTATCATTAGACAATATACAGGGTGTTTCATGAGAAGACTCACATAGCCAAATGGTTGATTGGGGAAATCAAGACGAGTTGATGTATATATATATAAAAAAAATTTTCAACCCTCCATAACGAAGATACAGGGTATTATGTGAAATGGCTATATAACTTTGATGGTCGATATTACAGAAATTATTCCTCGTAATCTGCTGAAATTTGGTAGCGACGTATCTCTACTAAAACTATTCAAGATATCATATCATGGAAAAAAATATCCAGGTCCGTACTTGGGAAAATTTTATGTTTCATTGTTATGTCAAAAAAGTTCACTTTCTGACCACTTTTCTCGAAAAACTCCATCAGAATCAGAAAGATCAGACAAAATGCTATAAGAACTGCTCTTCAATTTACACGGCACACTTCAACCGGTTCAATAGAAAAATATGGAACAAAAATGAAAAATTTCGACCTGGCTAATAATTCTCAACTTTTAACTGGATTCGTGTAAATTGATGTTTTTGTACATTTCTATCGGATAGAAATTGACAGAAGAGATTAGTTCTGACTTTCTTATGATTTGACATGTTAGTTTTTGACCGAACTTCTAGAAAGATAAGATTGATTACTCGTGGTTCTATTTTATAAATTTATTATAAAGTGGCCCTGTTTTCATTTTATGTAACGTGGCGTTTGTTGATAGGTAAACACTGGTAATCAAAATATTCTCACACTCTAGGTGCCACTTCATATTCCAAATGCTGAACAAGACGAAAATTCAAAAGCCATGCTATGTTTGATACCATGGAATATTTCTAGACCCAAGAATACGTTGCAGTAAATCCTTCACGAGGATGAACATTAGGAATTTTGAATAAATAGCAAATGCATACTTTTATCACTTGCAGAAGTGTATCAATAACAAAAAATGGTGCTAAGTTCACCATAATTTGGGCACATGAACCCTCATGTCCTAATTTCATCAGTTGGTACCTACCTAGTACTAGCCTAGTACTTACCTATCAGTTCGAATTATCAACAAACGTCACGTCTCGTCACACGAATGAAAAACAGGACCTACTAGATATCTCACTTCAAGCGACACCCATAAAATTATGTCAGGAATTATGAAAGCTATCTGGAATTTCGATAAAAAATATCATGTTTTTTTTTCTCGTCTATCTTTCTGTCAATTACTAGTCAACAAAGATGTAGCAGAAATCAATTCACATGATACCAGTTGAAAGCTGATAGTTTTCATTGAACCGGTCAAAGTGTGCCGTGTAAATTGAAGAGTAGTTCTCATAGCATTTTGTTTTATCTTTCTGAATCTGATGGAATTTTTCCAGAAAAGTGGTCACAAAGTGAACTTTTTTGACATGACAATGAAACATAAAATTTTCCCAAGTACGGATCTGGATATTCTTTTTCATAATATGTTATCTTAAATAGTTTCAGTAGAGATACGTCGCTGCCAAATTTCATCAGATTACGACGAATCATTTTTGTAATATCGACCATCAAAGTTGTATAGCATTTTCACAAAATACCTTCGTTATGGAGGGTCGAGAATTTTTTTTTATATATATATACATCAAATCGTCTCGATTTTCCCTATCAACCAATTGGCTATGTGAGTCTCCTCATGAAACACCCTGTATATAAAGTCTGGTAACCTACCACTGTCAATTTTTTCTGATGTTTCGTCGCACTTTCCAATGGAAATAGAGGTGCGTTGTGGCCGACTGTCCTTTCCCACTGGCCATGGAAGTCGTACGTCATAACATTGATGAAATCGAGGTATTTGGCAATTTCAGGTACGTCGTAACCAGCAGCAATAGCCTCGAACGAAGCTGGCACAGCAGCGGTCAGCAGAAGTCTTGGTTCATTACTACTCTTAGCCTCACCTGAGAAGAAAACATCGATTATTCCAAAAACGTTAAAGACATATTGGGAGCGCATCTCAAATTCAGACGATAATAGAGATGAAATTCGTGAGGACAAATAGAAATCATTTAGGTACCTACAAACAATATTTTTGTCAATATGAAAGGGAACCAGTATCAACATACTGCCCTGTAAGAAAACTCTGACCAATTAACATTAAGTATGGCTGTGAATAGCCAATAAGATGCGGCTTGTCAGAGCTTATCCAGTCCACAAATGTGAAGTGAATTGGTGAATTATCGTGTCATCTCCAGAGATGGTAGTGTCCCAACTGGCTTTGTGAAAACTATATACGATACGTCATATATCTTCACAATAGGATCTGCTTCCTCAATAGCAATAAAAGAGCACTCCATGTGATTTTCATGATTCATCGTAGAAAAATTAGCATAATATTCGAGTGAATCATTGAACATAGTACCTTCAAAGGCTAATCTCAACTCCTTGAGAAGATTGACGTATGCAGCTCTATCATCAGCACCTCTAGGGTATTCCCAGTCGACATCCAAACCGTTGAATTTGAATTCTCTCAAGAATTCTATGGCATCGTACACAAATTGGTTCATTCTGAAGGTATTACCAGTGAGTTCTTTGAAAGGCGTCGATCCGAAGGCCCAACCACCAATCGCCAGAAGAATCTGAAATACAAATGAATATCCATTCAGTTTCATGATGATGCATCTCAGAAACGAATAAATGACATAGACTTCCACCAAATTGAAAAAGAACTCTCTTCATCAGATATCTACTTACTTTCAGATCTGGAGTCTTTTCTCTCAAGGCAATAAGTCTATCATACATGTCTGGATCTTTGTCGCTGGCCTCAGCCAATTTGTGTTCCTTCAAGGTGGCAAATGCGTAGATGAGATGAGTACAGAGAGCAGGGTTGATGTCCTCGGGGGTGAATTTGCCAGAGCCTGGTCGCTTGATAGACCAGCTTGTTAAATAGCAGAACACTTGTGGTTTACGAACTGAAATCAGGAAACAGTCAATAGGAATGTATTATGATTACAATACAACAATTTTGACATTAAAAAAAATTTGGTATACATAGAAGATTTCAGAATATTTCTCCAACCAACTCGACTAGTAGATATCATTAGTTTTTTTGTAACAAACATTGTGAATGTGAATGATTCTGAAATATCGCGATGACCAAACGCACGACTTTAGAATTGCGTCCAATTCATGAAACTATCTAATTCAGATGTTCCGTATCAAATCACATTCATTCATTTATTCTCATTGAAATATCATGAATCTCTGAATAACTAGTGGATTATAATAAATTGACCCTCACTGTTTTTGTTGACTCTTTTCGCCAATCCTTTCTTGGGTTTACCAGCTCTCTTCAAGACTTCGGATACTGATATTTTCATAGGCTTAGGTTTTTCTATGGTTTCTTCATCTTCATCGTCATCTTCGTCTTCTGTCGCTCCTGCTATCTCCTGCCAATCCACATCTTTGGCATCTTTTCCTCTCGAGATACCCCTTAGTTCCTCCCTGCAAGGAAAACATAAATGCAATCAAGTGTGATCGTTATATTTCTCAATTTGAGCTGATGAGCAATGGAGAAATTGAATTTTTACGACTTGAAGACTGTTCAGCAAATTCTGAAAAAGTTGATATGGGAAAAGTATAGAAATAATTTTGAAAAAAATCTACTCTAGAAGCCTACCTCATGGCACCAATAAGAGGATATTTAACCTCTCCTCCACACACAGTTCCAGTGAAATCGTCCATATCGACTGTCCATACCATGGCTCCAGCGTAACCATTGCTCTTTATCCACTTCATCTTGTACCTTATAGATTTTTCGTCGTCAAAACCTACCCATTGATCTCCATGCACAAGATATGGAACTTTCATTTCTTCGTCCCAGTAGTACGTTGCCCCATTCAACAGCATTTCGCAAACCTTAAAAAAATCCATGAAATGATGCTCAAGCAGAAATTGAGTATTCCTAATTTTAAGTGCTTATGAATACGATTTTCACCAACTTTGTTGTATGTATTTTCATTGTTCTTGTTTTGAATAGTAGATCAATCTCATTCGGATCATAGACCGAACTATTTGAGTTCATCAATGTGATATAATTTCTTCATATTTTGAAGCGCATGAAAGGAAAAAGTCAAAAATTGGGAGCATAGGGATTTCGAATATTCTCATAGTGATGATTCGTCTTCTGAAAGAACAGAATCGCATCCGAATGTGTGAAGTGAACACGAGATTACTCACTGTTCTATTGTTGCGAAAATAACACCCTTTATAAACTTGAGCCTTTAGAGGAAACGGCAGTCCCTGAAGAGTCTAGTCAATACCGTCGACATACCAGAAAAAACTGAATGGATAAAGAGGAACTGAGTACCATATAGTAGGGAAGATCTGGTATACAGACGGGTTCCAAAACTGCAGATGGGTCAGTAGCAGGAAACTAGCTTCAGCTACACATTGGAGAAGCACGCCTCTGTTTTTCGAGCACAGGTTTACGCAGTTCTCCAATGTGCAGAACGAAACATCAACAGGAGAGCCGTTGGAAACGAGCACATGATTAAATGGCACGAAAGGCAATAGAGAGCCAGGAAATGATAGCTCGACTGGTATGAAGTGAAAAAACTATGAACTTTGGCAGGCCAGAACCGTGTCAAGCTAATCTAGGCTGACAAACTTGATGCAAGAAGAGGGTCGGATAACGAGCCAGATCCAAGTCATATTCTAGGAGTACAAGAACGTACAGCACGACCATCTGTCACAGACTGGATTCAGACGAAACATGAGAGCTAATGGAAAAACATTTCAGGCAACAGACATGGGAAACAATGAATTGAAGACTAAGCAACAACCTGCAAACCTTCTGAATATGAACAGAGTGCAGATGAAGAATGTCAAGGGACTGACCACGCGTCAGTAAAGGAGCACCTCACTAGAATGGGACTGTAGCGACCCAAATTGCAGACTATGCAGAAAAAAACCAGAGACGGTAACCACATGTACTGTGCAGATGCGAGGTATTGGACGGCGAAAGGAAGATGATTTTTGGGCAATCAGTCAGCAAATCAGAAGTATTCAACTCACATCCAGGAAAGTAAGGTATGTACAGATATATTGAAGCGGGTGCAATGAGGAAAACTTGGTGAGCTACAATAGCCACCAGGCCTAAGTGTCGTCGGAGATATCAGGGGGACGAGCCTTCAAACAGGGTGGAGTGTTCGGTAGGTATACTCTGACTAGAGGATTCCCACACTTTCATATGGGGGATTAGACCCATATAATGTCCACAAAGAATTCACATCACCAAGGCAACAAAAATAATTCGAATATACCTCGTAATATCTATGATGAGTTGAGACTGGCATTCATCAGAGTTCTGAAGTAGCAGCTTATTGCCAACTATGGTTCCAAACAGGAACATATATAGTATATCTTAATATATTACCTGACAAGCTTCGATAGACCGTGAAATGCAGGGTGATTGATCAGTGTGACAAAGTTCAGTATCTGGCCATATACGTATTAATAATCAATACGGATAATCTCTATCTGTTTCCATAGCGAAACATGAAGTCGATTTTTGAAGACAAATGACTATCCATAAGGAAAAGTTTTGAAACGATCAGACACATACTGCTTTGATTGAAAGGCTAGTAAACGTCATTGTCCACCGAAACGCATGTCTTTGATGACTACTATAATAGCGCATGGCGCATGCGTATCATGCCACCAAATCCTTATGGATATTCATTTGTTTCATATTTTTGGCTTCATCCTGGCACCCGTTATGATCCGTATTGTTTATTAATACGTATATGTATCTGGCACTGCCGATTCAGTGCACGGTATAAGCTGACAGGGACACCTAATGTGTCAAAATATAGAGTATCAAATTGAAATCTATAAAAAAATATTTCATCAAATTGGTGAATCGTCTAAATAGTATAGAATCGACACTGTATGCTGTGGAACCGTGAAACAACAAAATGTAAAATATCGGGCCATATACGTCATCGAATATGAGATGAGATCATTATACATCATACAGGCAGTAAATTATCATATACGTATTCTATCACAACATCAGTCTATCGTACTAGTTCTCCATTTAATTGGTAGTCTATCAGAACTGTATTCCATCAGAATATCAATTCGTTATAACCATATTTCATAGCAACCTTAATTTGTCAAAACCGTATTTCATTGATCCAATAAACCATCATAATTAAGCTGACGTGCCGATTCAGGGTGCGTGCACTATTTAAAGTGAACTCACCTCGTAATAAGCGAGGAAGCCCGACTCCTTGCTGTACGCCCCCTCTTTGCCGCCGCCGCTGGCGGGCGCGTGTACCCCGTGCTTGTTTTCCGGATTGGCCAGCGTGAAGCTGCGCCCATAGGTTGGCATGCCGATCACCATCTTTTCCTTGGGCGCGCCCAGCTGCACCCACAGCGCGGCCGCGTGGGCGACGTTCAGCTGTTTCTGGTACTGGCTGTCGGAGGAGGGGGAGTGAAGGGGCGCGTTGTGGCCGGTCTCGCGCTCCCACTTGCCTACAGGTGGAGGAATATCGAAGGTCATATCACGAGTCTATCAAATTTCATCGATAATTCTCTCAAATTTTTGCGAAAAAACTTCATTGGCAATACTATGATAACAAACCGATTGATAAATTCATTCCGTCGGAAAAGTCGATGCTTTTGCCACAAATGAAACGCAGTTAGTGATGAGAATGAAAAATCAGCAAATGAATACTGAGAAAAGAGTTAACTATGATCATTTCTTTCACCCTCCTATTATGATTGATCAAATGGTTCTAAAGGTGATGTGTGTGGTAACCTTTGCAGTGACTACAAGCACAGAGGATGCGTACGTCAGAGATCCGATAATTGATTTCAGTTTTACTTACACGTGAGATAGGTCGAAATAAAAAAGATGGCATACACTGGTAAGCCAGATTAATTTTGACAGTTCCATTCAGATAAGGTTTTATCAAGGACCATGCAATTTTATGAGAATAATACCGAATGATTGGCTGAAATTACGCATTGCTATTGGTTGAAAAAACGAAAACTTCACATCATGACATGTGAAAAAAATAGGCGAAGGTAATAATACGAATTCCTCGAATTGTACTTATCAATAATTTTTTTAACATGTCAAAATGTGACGTTTCCGTTGTTTCATCCTATAGCGAACCGTTATTCCGTAATAGCACACAGAAGGCACAAGGTTATTGGTATCGCAGACATCCAGTACGTCTGTGGGCAGTATAAATGTCCTGACTTCTCCCCCAAAAAAGATATCCTCCATTGATACACACTGGACTCCTTTGGGAAATCATCCAAACAAACGTCCTTTGGAAAAGTTTATGAAACTTTTTTTTTTGTACCGAGGTCATTCATAGTACATCTTCCGAAACGTCCTCTGGAATCCATAGGACAGAGAATGTGTACTTGGGACTTTGGGACATCGAACATTGAGAGATGAGACGTCGTACTAGATCGGACGAGTACAATTATTTTAGGTCTGGGACATTCGGACTCGAATGGGCGTGTACACCTTAGTAGAACTTTCAACTCAAACCATGTTTATAATGATCCTTTTATACATAAATAATGATTGACGACATAATTCGATCGAGAAATTAACTGGAATGTTTCATTTTTGGACATAAATAATAGTACCATCTGAAAACGGACCCTCTTATGACGTAGAAACCTCATCTCGCCATAGTTAAAAGAAAATACTAAACGCTCGACGGAGACTGAGGCAACTGATTTATTGATTCTTTCAACTGTGATCTCGCGCTAATTCACTCTGTCAGAAATCATGTATCATTCATCTCTGTCTGGAATAGTCTTGTTTCAGTAATAGGGTTTTGACGTCACATCATCGCCTCGTTTTCAGAGGTCCGAAAAATCGGGGATTTCAATATTTTTTTATAAAACGTAGGGAGCTCACAGCAAGAAACGGTTCGCGGTGGTGAGCTAGTTTGGGTGAGTTCTATCGAATCATGAAATAAAATTTTTTTGTGATATAAGCCCATTGTATCGAATAGGAACGTCCCTGCGTGCTAATAGGGCTCTAGCCAATATCATTCGGTAGTATACTGATAATACTGCATGGTCCTCGATAATTCACATTGAACTGTCAGAACAAAACTATAAACTAAACAGTGTGCTTTTCACAATGAACGGTAATAACTCATATTTCCACAAATTGCAAAAAAACGAAAATATTTATGAATGAAACGAATCAGTGGTTTCTTCGTCCTGTTCCTGAGAATCATTATTCAGATTCAACTGATGATGTTGCGTTGAAAGTACAGTCATTCATTTCATTGTAAGATCCTTGGTTTCTCCTTTTTTTCTATTGTTTTTTAAATCTCTCTCAAAGCAGGTGACTCGCATAGAATTTGAATTATTTAGGCCCATTGATCAACTATCTTTAGTGTTTTAATCGTTATCGAAAGTATCGTAAGTGAATATTTCTGCATGACTATCGAAATTATCGAAAATTCCACGACGTATATTAAATTATCGCAGGTAATATCCCGAGACCATGACAAATAGCCGACTATTATTTTCGTCATAATTCCATCGAGAGTACCTTGTATTTTGACAATTTGATGAGACCATAAGAACATTAATAATCTGAATAACTCCCGAGAGCTTTAGCTCGAGGGAGTTATTCTATGATTATTTATGTTCATATGGTCGAATTGAATTGTCTCAAAATACAAGGTACTCGAGATGAATTAACGAAAATAATAGTCTCCATTTGTCATGGTCGAGTGATATTCAGGAAGATTATTTCATGAACGGTGCAAAAATACTGGTTTAAATGAGTTTCAACATTTTATTCAAGTTATAATTCTGCAGATACTATTTGAATAAAAATTCTTCTGAAGGCCGTTTGGGGTAAAAAAAAAATCTACGTACAATTGTAATCAATTCATCTAAAGTTAGAGCAAAGAAAGAATATTAACGCTATTGATAGCGGTAATATTCTTTGATAAGAGCTTCTGTACTTTCCTTTCTTGTTTGAGGAAAATATTGTAGGCTCCGCCTTTTTGCATTATCCGCAACCTTTGAATTCGATATATTCAAATGGATTTGTCTTACGTTTATGTTCATTGAAGTAACCTTCCTGTATATAGTTTTCCATATCAATTTCAACTGTGTATTCCTAATATCCCTCACCATTCTCCTCACCCAATCTTTTAGGATTTGGGCAATCACGAGATATGGGATAGTCGCACAAATTTCATAGTTTTTCTGCTGTCAAAAAAACATGAATTGTTCCAGACAGACTCTTTACTCTCCTTGTTATTTTCTGATATCGATTCGCTTACATAATTACGAATTTCCGTAGTGGAAGTTGACCCAAAACGAGACATTTTAGTTTTTGAGTGACTGATTGGTATGTCAAAGTTTGACAATCATAGCACTCTTATGCTGGCGAACATAGCCGCTCATATTGTTTGTTTACCTAAATAGCTGCTGATATCGCATATCATGTGACTTCAATCATGACATTTCATAGGTCCAGCCGGGTGTGAATGAAATAATCATCATTATCGTATGACATGGAGATGAAAGTTTCCTATTAGTCGTGAAGTTGTCTCAATAAATATAATTCGTGCTCAAAATACTATCGTAAACTCTGTTAGAAATCTTGAAATCGATCAAATTGCTCTTCCCGCGGACACGTGGTGTGGTGCTGTGTGTCTTGCGAGCACTCATCTTATTAACCCATGTCTATACTTGCCGTGGAAGTCGTACGCCATGAGGTTGATGAAGTCGAGGTAGGAGGCCACGGCCGGCACGTCGTAGCCTGCTTTGATGTTGTCCGGGCCGACGGGCACGGCAGCGGTGAGGAGCAGGCGGGGTTTTTTGATCTCTTGGGATTCGGCTTCGAAGGCTTCGCGTAGCTCTGCAAAAATAAAAATTGTTTTCATACTATGGTAGTTGAGAATATCATGATCAATGATGGACGAAGATGATATCCTGAAATGAAATATCACCTACGGAACCATGGTTCAACAAGAACTGTTCCAGAGCTGTTGCCATTGAACGAACAGCCTACTATCGCTGCGCGAAAATCCTAACCCCGTGAGTAGAACAGAATATGTCGAAGCCAGAAATAACTATGCAGCAATGAGTCGAAATAAGTATACATCTCAGAATGAAATCGATACTCATTATATTGACCCAATGACTCCCACTCGCAAGAAAAAGCAAACATTTTTGCAGAGACGTTTGCTGCAAACTTCATCTCAGATATCAGAGGAAGGGTTCTGATGCCAAATAATCCTTCAGTTAAAAGTCGAATGCCTGATATCGTCTTTCATAAAATTTACTATCAGGCGCATCTACTCGGTATGAAAAAGCATGAGGCTGAACGGTCCTGATGGAACTCCACCCAATATCCTCAAAGAAAGTGTCCCAGAATTGACACCGATTCTCTCTCAAGTTATTCACCATATCCAACAAGTCGGAAGTTTTGCAGCCTTCTGAAAAACAGCTGGTAGTTATCTATAAAGCATTCGACCGTGTTTGGCACCAAGGATTCCTCCAGAAACTACCATTAAACAGCTCACTACCTCAGCTACGCCTGATTCTATTTAGTTCTCTTCCAGGCAGATCGCTCCATGTGGTGGTGTACGGGGTATCGTCTGATACCATATAGTCCTCAATTCCGGCGTTTCACAAGGATCAATTTCGGCATCAATATTGTTCCTCATGCATATCAATGATCTGTTGTGAGTGGCCACCTACTCTATCCACAGTTTTTCATATGAACTCATCAGTCCCCATACTGCGTTCTTCTTCAGATTGTTCGTTACATCCCAAGAAACTATGTACATATGACAAATGCCTAAAGGTTGAATCACGACATAACTTATTGTCGCAACTCAGATGTTCGACCTCCTATGGATCTCAACTTGGCTACTCGCTTGGCTTAATGAGAGGATTTTAATCATTTCACCATCCAACCCTATTCACCCCCAAATAAAGAGACCGGACAGTTTTCATAGAAAAAAATAACATTTATTAATTGAATGAAAAGTTTTATAAATAGATGCTGCCACATGGCAGGTTAACAAAAAGGAAAAAAAAGATCAACGCAAAACAACATTGGAAAAAAAAACAGCACTTACATTATTACGTCTAGCAGGGGGTTGACCAGCAGGCTTGAAGTTGGGAGGACGGCGAACATTTTGATTTTCACTAGAATGACTTGTGTCAATAATGAATTATGAATAATGAATCATTGCCTCATCGATTCGGGTACTATTTATATTCGGAATCGATGCTAGGTTCGCTATTTTCCACACGGGGAAAGGTCGTTAGCTTTCGATACCGCTTACCTAGGTATTATCGCCGCGGTAAGCGATTTCTTTTCAAATAATGAAGGAAATGATGTCTATGAACTCCGCTGGCCTGATCGAACTGCAATGTACTGAATGTTTCAATTTGGAAAAGTTAGTTAATGAAGATCTTGAAACGAACGAGAGTTTGAGTGGTGTTAATTCCTAGGCATTTATACTTCTTGACGTTATTATATAGAATGACACAGGGAATCTCTAGCTGTGGCCTAAGTTATATCGCAAGCATTCGATTGTGTTCAGCACAAAACATCATCATATATGGCTCACTACCTCAGCTATATCAGATAGGTAGCTCCATGTGTTGGTTGGAGAAGTATCCTCTAATACCATAACCAGAATATCCATTTCATCCCAGGGATCAGAAACTCACGATTAACTGAGGTCAACGCTGCCAATGAATGTTTTGCATAATCTACAGCCTGGGGAACCAACAACCTCGTTGAATTCTACGCCACAAGCTCAATCTCTTATTCTTTGTAGGAAAGTCGAACTCAGTATGCCCGGTTATACCATATCTATATTCGGTATATTCATCAGTAGACCATTTTATGTCAGATTCATCGCAATATAAGCTGCTTTTCAAAAACTCACCATTCAATTTCAAGCAAAAAGCTTCTTTACACCTCAACACAGACTTCTTATGATCCACAAATCATATAGATCCGGCCCGTTCTCCCAAACTCAGTAACTTTTTAGCATCATTAGAATATGATCAGAAAGTCGGCAACCTCTTCATTTTCTCTATAGATAATTTCACAATTTCAAATTTGCCTTATGGAATTCAATAGCAAATTGAGCTATTTACTCCAGACTCAGATGGGTCGTGTCTGGATGGACTTTTCACTTGCCATAATGAACATTTTATCAACAAAACAGATCATGAAAACACATCATTTGGAATAGACATTGAAAATGATCATTTGTAACGAATAACTGATTTGATGCATATAAAACTGATTACATTTATCCGTGTTGTATTCACCCAGCATGACAGTCTTTTACCAACACATAAAAAGACTGTGAATTTGTGGTTGATTTCTCAAGGACAATTGGAGTCGAAGAAAGTTATGTAGCAAATTAAATTAACCTCAATGCATCTAATAGACTATTGTTATCGTAGGAGTTGATATAGACTAATGTAGACCTGAGTATCGAATAAGTTAATTTCAATTTGTTCCAGCACAATCACATTTTTATACAGGTTTCTTGATGTTTTTATCATTTTAATCAATGCAGCACGTCTTTTTTACTGTTAGCCCCTGCCGGAATATCCACATTATATCAAAAAGTTTCAATTATTGAACAGTCGACATTCCATTAAAATTTTCGAGGGACTCAAACTAATAATTCCAAACTGATAGGCTAGTACCCCAGCGTTTCTAAATCGGAGAACCACGTCACAGAATATTGTTGGGTATTCTGAACTGACTTATTTGCGAATTAAACATATTAAATCCGTATATGAGCTGGAGACTGTTGTAGACTCACCTTTCAGAAGGAGAACATAATTCTTCTTATCAGAAGATCCAGGATACTCCCAATCGATATCTAAACCATCGAATCCTCTCTGCCTCAGGAATGGTATAGCACTGTAGATGAATGTTTGACGAGTATACCTAGACGTAGCCATGTCTTTGAATTTTTGAGTTCCGAAAGACCAACCTCCTGAAATTTGAGCACAATTATAGCAAAAATTATTCATGAATGGTGGAATTATATGAATAGTATACAATACATGTAGGTAGATGAGCCTATATTTATTATGAGATAATATACTGAATATGTCTATTGGGTCACAACAGGTCAAGATCAGAAGACTGAAACTGTGTAACGGTTTGGATGAATAAATCCTGAAAATTATATAGTGATTGAAGTGCTCAAAGTGGACCACTGGAACTTGAGACGTTCTTCAAAAAGCGATAACTTTCAAGCAAATCAACCAATTTCCAATTGGAATGCAGTGTTCAAAAGATGCGTCCTTTCCACTTCAGATTCATTATTCAGTCATGACGTATCATGTCGTCAAAAATAGTGTTACGTTATCGAAAAGTTTAGGAGCTCCCGTACTTCCTAAGAATTTTTGCATCCTTCTGCAGATCAAGTTCCTCAAATCTTCAAGTCAATATCCCGTACTTCCTAGGAATTTTTGCATCCTTCTGCAGATCAAGTTCCTCAAATGTTCAAGTCAATATCTCGAGAATTTTTTTTAATTTCTGACGTTTCTTATACATAGGATCTGAAATATCGAATCTTTTAGATATTCTGTTTTTTATGGATACTCAAACCATACTGTACTGTAATACGATCGAATCAATTCCTGGAGAAGACTGTTTTAAATAAAACAGTTGAGGTTTGTCTTATAATCGCAAAAAATCTCATTACTGTCATATAATTATTAGTCAACTCCCTTGGAATCAGATAATGTTCAATTGCTTCCCTAGTTCCATTATTTGAGCATTCTAGAAATTTTGTTTCTCCTCTATAACATCGTTTGAATGGGCGTGTACACCTTAGTAGAACTTTTAACTCAAACCATGTTTATAATGATCCTTTTATACATAAATAATGATTGACGACATAATTCGATCGAAAAATTAACTGGAATGTTTTATTTTTGGACATAAATGATAGTACCTTCTGAAAACGGACCCTCTTATGACGTAGAAACCTCATCTCGCTATCCTTAAAAGACAATACCAAACGCCCGACGGAGACTGAGGCAACTGATATATTAATTCTTTCAAACTGTGATCTCGCGCTAATTCACTCTGTCAGAAATCATGTATCATTCATCTCTGTCTGAAATAGTCTTGTTTCAGTATTAGGGTTTTGCCGTCACATCATCGCCTCGTTCTCAGAGGTCCGAAAAAACGGGGATTTCAATAATTTTTTATAAAACGTAGGGAGCTCACAGCAACAAACGGTTTCCGGTGGTGAGCTAGTTTGGGTGAGTTCTATCGAATTATGAAATGAAATTTTTTTGTGATATAAGCCCATTAGAAGATTAGCAGTTTCTCTAACGCCATTTGTGAATTTGCTTTCCTAAGGAGAAGACAAGAAATGCATTTGGCAGGGAATCAGAATTTGTCTGCAAGTTAAAAATGTATCATCATTATAACAGCGAAAAGGTATCGGCCTCAACAATAAATAGAAGTCCACAATATATTTTTCATTAAATCACCTCGGAATAAACAAGGAAGAAAGAATGTGGAGCAGGATTCGAACGCAGGACCTTTGACGGGCCGAAACGTTGTACTACACATCAATCTAATTCTGGTGGAAATAAGTAGGTACAAGATAAATTGAGAAAAGGAAGATACTGATGCTCACCACGAGCAACTTCTGCAAATGTGACCATCCCACTTCCTGGGAAAGGAAGCGGAACATGATTAAGTATCGCGATTTCTCACATGGAATCCTTCCCCAATTTATATATCGTTTTTCTGTTATAACTACCAAATTGCAGTGAGAAAGGTTCGAGAATTATTATTGTTTCTATCCAAAATTACTGATATCCTCGAAATTGTTTCCATTGTGATATGCTAACACTCAATCTGAATAATCCTGGTATATTTACCTATGGCAAGGAGTGTTTTCAAACTGGGATTGCCTTTCTTCAGCTTCTGGATCCTTTCGTACAATCCAGGCTTTCCATCCTTGGTTTCGTCATTGCTTTCGAAAGAAGACAGTTTCCCTTTCTTCAACCAACCGAAGGAGAAAATGATATGCGTACACAAATCAGGCAGGATGTCTTCCGGGGTGAATTTCCCGATTTTGACCCTGTACTGCGACCAATTCGTGTAGTAACACACCACCTTGTTGCCATCTTTTTCTTTGGTAGAGGAAGTCAGCGAGTTTTCTGATGCTTTCCTGTGGTGCGGCCTCGTTCTTCTCAATTTTGTGATGCTGGAAGATACATCTTGGTCTTTGGATACGGATACGGATGCAGGCGATGATTTCGTAGGCCTACGCAGTCTTCTTCTTGTGGCTGAGGAACAAAAATTGGTTGAATTCGAATTATCTCATGATACTTTCTCCCATTGCCATAAAATATAGCCATGTTATCACAAAAGCTCGAAATTACACAAATACACGGAATTAAAGGAATTCTTGAATCAAGCAAAATTCAATTGGAAGAAGCAAATACAAGTGCGATATTATGCACGAACAATCTTGAAATGAATAAATCTATATCTTGTTCCAGAGCGAATTTGAAGTTTGAAGCAAGTGAATATGTCTTGCATGAACTCTGGATCCTAGTCAATCAAGCACATCCAAGAATTTTTTTGAAGAGATATCGAATTGGCTCAAACAATCATTTTGTTTCATTCAAAATAACAAGATATTGATTCAATCATATTCAGTTGATTCTATGAAATATTTGGTTGATTCAAATGAATATTTGGTTGATTCAATGAATTATTCGGTTGATTCTGATGTCTCCATCATAATTTCTGATATACTAATCTGCTGACATTTAATTGAAACAAATACAGGGTGGTTCAAGAATCAGAATTCTGATCACCTTGTATCTGTTTCAATTAGATGTCAGTAGATAGTTAATCAAAAGTTAATGAGATACGAACATGTGAGCCGTTTCGACCAATAATAATAAATAGTTTCGACCGAGGTTTCGACACAAAAAAATCTTGAAGTAGAAAAATCTCGATTTTGAACATTCTTTATCTCTGTAATCATTCCCGCTAGACCCCAAGTGTGATAGATCGATAAAATCATCTTTTCAGGGAGAATCTGGAAATTAATTGAAATACAGGATGTTCCTTCTGAAATTAGGAAGTTAATAATATTTCCGGAAGAACTGGAGAAGTGGTAACATCAGCGATAACATTTTCAAATCCGACACATTTTGAAATCACCCTTTACATAAATTCGAAAAAAACTAACAAACGGATACCGAGATATTTGCTTGGTTCCATACTTCATCCCAACCCTGTATAACTCTGAAACTATCAGAGCCACATGATGGTGTTATAAAAAACGGCGAATTTTTTTAATAATTATAAGTTATATATACCTAATCGTCAGAGTGAACAATCTCCTAGAACAGAGCCTTTTTGAAAGATAATGTCTGAGGTAACCCAGATTGGCTGAAACATTCTTGATGTGAATTTGAATTGGATCATTTCAACAACTTTATAATTATGTTGAAATCAACATTAAAGAAATAGCCTTCTCGTAGTAATATAATTATGTGACCTAAAACGTGTGAGACACGCTCAATAATTACAGAATCTTATGATTATTTGATCAATGTTGTGATATAAATATAAGGTAGACATGCTTGGAGAACTGGAATAAATTTCTCAACAGCAGTGAAGGCTGGGCTAAATCATTATAAGCAATCCTCATTTCGAAGTTTCATCAAAAATCGAAGTTTATTCTTCAACTTGTGATGTGTATGGTATAGGTATGTACAGGGTGGTCCTTTGAGAACGAAACAGAGGCTCTGTAGGTCGCCAAAACCGGATTATGAAAAAACTCTGGAACACGTCAACTACATTTTCGAGGGAAACATCATTCAGAAATATTTTTAGCCCTGCGGCGTTGTCGCTTCCAACGAAAAGAGGCAGCAACTTATATATTTTATTATTTCAAATGAAACACCTTGTATTTCATTGCATTTTCAGATTTTCCCCGAAGAGCTTATTTCATCAATGTATTACATTTGGGATCTAGTGGCAATGATTACAGAGCTATAGAGTGTTCAAAATCGATATTTTTAACTTTATAGGATTTTTGTGTATCGAAACTATTCATCATTGGTCAAAGCGGCTCCCATAACCCTATCTCAACTTTCGATTCACTATTTACTGACATTTATCTGAAACAAATACAGGGTGGTTCAAAATTCAGAGTTCTGATCACTCTGTTACTGTTCCAATTAAATGTCAGTAGAATTCGAATCAGGAGTTGAGATAGGAACATTAAAGCCATTTTGAGCAATATAGAATAGTTTCGACATCAAAAAATGCTAAAGTTGAAAAATCTTGATTTTGGACACCCTATATCCGTGAAATCATTCCAGCTAGACCCCATGTGTAAAGCATCGATGAAATCAGCTCTTCGGGGGGAATCTAAAAATGCAATGAAAAGGTGTCGTTCCATTTGAACAAAGTTGTTGCTTCTTTACGTTAGAAGCGGCAACGCCGCAGGGCTGGTAATATTTTAAAACGATGTCCCCCTCGAAAATGTAGTTGACATGTTTCAGATTTTCTCATAATCCGGTACAGAGCCTATGTTTTGTTGTCAAAGGGACACCCTGTATACAGGGTGTTTCACAGGTGAAGGGAAATATTTCAATGGTAGATAGGGGTCACCAAGGTGATTCTGAAAATACCATATTTGAGAGATCTTAGAGTCTTCATAACAGAGATACAGGGCGATTTATCGATTTCGAATAATTATTCATTCGTCTATATGTATTGACCTACCCAGTATATTTTTCTCAAATTTGGTAAGGAGCTTATACCTAAACGACGTTTAATTCATTCACCTATCGGGCGGAGTGAAAATCCAGGTTCGGCTTCAGGAAAAATTCACATTTTTTCGAAATATTAAAATAACACACTGTATTTAATAATAACCACCGTACATCAAAAAAATTATGAAGAGGAGGAAAAACTGAATTGGGTTTGATGCTTTTTGTTTTCCCGCCACCAATTCTCATCGTAACAATCATAAACAGAGTTGAAAGTATATCAATTTGAAGAGTATTGAAATTATGAAACCAGTGTCAATTATAATTATTCGATATATTTAAGTCAAAAAATCGCTCGAAAGAACTTACTAAGTTTCACAGTTTTTATAACGAAGATACAGGGTGAATTATCGGTTGTAAATAATTATTCACTAGTCCATGAGTATTAAACTACCCAGTAACATTTTCTAAAATTTGGTATGTAGCTTACTTGGGACCATGGATTCATTGACTTCTCAGGCGGAATGGAAATACAGGTTCAGCTTCAGGAAAAGTCTCATAGCCTTTATAGCAGAGATACAAGGTGAATTATCGACTTATAATTATTCTGGTATTATATTACTGCGATGGGTAGTTTAATACTTATGGACGAGTGAATAATTATTCGAAACCGGAAATTCACCCTGTATCTCTGTTATAAAGACTGTGAGACTTAGTAAGTTCTTTCGAACGATCATTCAACAAGAATATATCAAATAATCATAATTGAAAGTGGTTTCATAATTTGAATACTCTTGAAATTGACATACTTTTAGCTTCCTGTTTATGATTGTTACGATGAGAATTGGTGGCGGGAAAACAAAAAGCATCAAATCCAGTTCAGTTTTTCCTCCTCTTCACGATACAGTGTGTTATTTCAATATTTCGAATAAATGTAAATTTTTCCTGAAGCTGAACCTGGATTTTCACTTCGCCCGATAGGTGAATGAATTCAACGTCCCAAGTATACGCTCCATACCAAATTTTAGGAAAATATACTGGGTAGTACAATACTAAACTTATAGACGAATGAATATCCGTTATAAAGACTGTAAGACCTATCAAATATGTTATTTTCAGAACCACCTTGGTGACCTCTATGTACCATTGAAATATTTCCCTTTATCTGTGAAACACCCTGTATAATACTAGACAAACCCGATTTCAGGATAAATTAGTTTTTCCTAGGCCAAATATCCGAAGAGCGATAGAATGAACTAGTTTGTCCTAGTCTAAAGTACTTCGTACTACTGTGTTAATAATATTTTGTGAGGAAGGAGCATACATCTCTATGAATCGATCATTCGGGAACAAGTTGAGCTGATTGATGAAAAATTCTATGACTACGTTCCCGAATGATCTACTCATAGAAGTGTATGTTCCTTCCTCACAAAATATTAGCAAACTATAGTTCATTCTATCGCGCTCTTCGGATATACTGATTCAGCCTAGGAAAAACTAGATTATCCTAAAATCGGGTTTGTACGGTAACATATATACCGAATTTCCAAATTTTCCAAACAAAAAACCAGTTTTTCTCGATGTAGGGATGAATTTTCAAAATTTAAACCATCATCCAGAAACCATGACAGAATTAGACAGACTTCTGATTTGATGAATTGATTCGTTTTGTTAAGTTGGTTATAAAATGCATATTCAGCGTTTTTTATTTCAAACGGTCCCCAAGATGAGGGACCACTCATTATATCTCGGGTGTTATTTGAATGTACGATTCTTACCCAATTTGGTCTGGTATGAGTGGTATGAATAACTATTTGATCAGTTTTTCAGAGACAAACATTTCCTTGGACAGTACCATCAGTTGATGTTTCGAAATAATTTTAAATGGTAGCCTATGTTGACATTCAACTTCCTAGAGAGGAAGAATTCCAAGAAGATAAGTGGTTAGCCTTCTAGAGACCGAGGCGTTACTGGTGGCCCACCCTGTATATGCCGCTGTGATTTTGTCATTTTGACAGCGAAAAAACAGCCCTAAGGTCTTGATTTTGTTGATGCGAGGCAACAATAAAGTACTCATTGAAATGTCAAGTTTACTTTGACAAGAAAATCACAGACAAAAAAGTTTCCATAAAGGTCACATGATATTTTTATTTAAATTCTCTAGAAATCGAAAAGGTCTGAATTCTTTGAATTGGCAAGATATTGATGTTTCTACATTGTATAGACCACGTAAAAGAAGAAATATATACAGGGTGGCCCACGGTCGATGGTACCTTAGACGTATACGGAAAACGGTACATTGGAATATCCTGAAAATTTGGTTACTTCAATAAGCGTTTGTGATCTAACGATTCAAAATATTTTCAGCGGAGCAGCGTTGTCACTTTTACCAAAAAGTAGCATCATCTTTGTTATTTCGAAAGGAACACCCTGTATTTTATTGCGTTTTTAGATTCTTCTCGAAGAGCTGATTTCATCAATGTATCACACTTGGGGTCTAGCAGGAATTATTACAGAGATATAGGGTGTTCAAAATCGAGATTTTTCAACTTTAGGATTTTTTTGTGTCGAAACTATTCATCATTGGTCAAAACGGCTTACATGTCCCTATATTCACTTTTGATCAACTATCTACCGACATTTAATTGGAAAAAATACATGATGGTCCAATATTCAGAATTTTGATCACCCTGTATCTGTTCCAATTAAATGTCAGTAGATAGTGAATCGAAAGTTGAGATAGGGACATGCGAGCCGTTTTGATCGATAATGAATAGTTTCGACACAAAAAATTCCTGAAATTGAAAAATCTCGATTATGAACACCCTATATCTCTATAATAATTTCTGCTAGACCCCAAGTGTGATGCATTGATGAAATCAGCTCTTCGAGAAGAATCTAAAAACGCAATGAAATACAGGGTGTTCCACTTGAAATAACAAAGATGATGCTACTTTTTGGTAAAAGTGGCAACGCTGCATCGCTGAAAATATTTTGAATCCTTAGATCACAAACGCTTATTGGAGTTACCAAATTTTCAGGATAATCCAATGTACCGTTTTCCGTATACTTCTGAGGTACCATCGACCGTGGGCCACCCTGTATATGTTGAACATTACATACACTCATCAATTTCAGACAATCAAATGGTTTAATTTTGGTATTTTGCTATGACAACAACATAGGTTTTTTTGTGGAAATCACCCTACCTTCCCACAAGCAACTATAGTAAGATTCATGAGAAGAAATCTCTCAGGCTCGTCAGCTGCTCCCTATATACGTGAGTATATCTGAATAACACCAAAAAAATTCAAGGGGTGTTTCCTTGTTCTAGCCAATAAATTTCATATGAACATGTGTCCTAACTTGCTCCGTTTTTTGAGATACACAGGATGATGAAGTTGGAAGTATTAATTGTTTTTATCTATAACACCCATATATAAGCTTTCATGGTGCCGAAATTCAGTATGGATGAATACTGAAAAATCCTCAGAATTTCAAAATGATTCTAATTGGGGTTATTGAGTAATATCAATGGATGTCTTGAAAACATCTACATTAAAATATGGAGTCAAATCGAATTTTCATTGTTTCCTCAAAAACTAAGCTATAGATACAACAATCGCACGAAGAATAAAAAAGTTGTTATTTCAATAGTTCAATCTAATAAAAATATGAAACTCAGAAAAACCAGTGGTGTACAATGACATTCACCATGAATATCGATAAATTTGACCACTGTGACGCCACTGGAAATATGATTTCGAATCAAATTGCACTAAAAGAAGCTCCATATCACAATTAACAAAACCACTGCTGATTATTGAAATTGATGAGACAATTGGGAAATGAATAGAAAAAAAGATTTTTCATGGAAATATTAATAGCCTTGTATCTCGAAAACGAAGCGAGTTAGGACACATGTTCATATATGAACTTTATTTCCTGAAATATCACAAGGAATTTTCCGGTGAATTTTTTCGGTGTTATTCAGGTACACCCTGTATAAGACCCTTTCCTTCGTACGAAAAGTGTAGCACATTCGTATACTTCGTATAATTGACACCGAATTTGAGCATTCCTTCGAAAAGTGCATTCAACACCATCGTAGTTAATCTCTACCTGGCCTTCGGCAGGTGTGAATTACTCTAACATTAGTCACATTCAAGAATGAATAAAATCTCGATAAATGATTATGACAAATACATCTGTAATAATATTTACAATAGATATACACCCATACTGGGAAATCAGTTACATCAACTATACCGCAATTAGAATTCGAATTGCACTTTTCCTCTCCAATTCAATTTTCTTCGTTAGGTTGAAATTTGTTGGTGTAGCTGCACGAAATTCTAGCTGATTCATAGTGTAGTACATTTTACACGACACTGAGAAGCAGACGAAAGAACATAATTAAATAGTCGTTCCGAATCAACTGGAGCAGCTCCGGCAGAAAACATACGCCACGCGCTGGCCGGTCCTTTCAAACGAACAGACTGCACGTGACGGACATACCTTGCTCGAAAAGGTCCAACTGATTTTGTATAGACTATATACCTACCTCACCAAAATTCAATTATTTTTCTAAATAATTTGGCTTTTTGTGCAGAATTTCCAGAGTGAAGTTGAATTGAAAATCTCTATGCTCATGGTTCTGGATATACTGAAATACGAGCTTAAATAGTGTACTCATTATGATGTTGTCTTTGTTTATTGGAATGTATTATAATGTCTACATCTAGTCTAATGAGTTATTTTATGGATATTATCATTCCTCACTTTCATTTTCTCCATTCATAAAATAGCGAAATCTTCACACGCGTGAAAAATATCTATAAATGAAACTTAATGTGAACATAAGAGAAAATGTAGGTACAGATGAAAATATGAACGTCTAATTATTAGATATTAATTTCTCACAAAACTCACCTCTTTCTGTAGAAACTAGTTGAACTAATACGAACACAAACACACATATGAACAGAATAGTCCTCAATTTACATGAAGATCTAGTTATCTGAAACAAACAAAGAACATATAATCAATCAATTGCATATTAATTGTGAGATGAGGATGTATTATCGAAAAAAATATTTTAATTCAGCTACTCAATTGTGAACTCAATTCAGTTCGTGCATATAGCTATAGGAAAAATAGTATATTACACACCAAGGTGGGAAGAGATTCATTCCTGTCATTAGATTAGTTAGTTAGTTTTACCGATGATGTACAAAATATAGTAAGCAAGTTGTCTTTCAATCTTCCTGAGTCACTTTGAAGTATTGGTCAAACAATAGCGGTCACAAATCCGCTACAAAATTTAGGAAATAGATTCGTTTGATATTTCCATTAGTGGAAAATGCCTATTCAAGTTCAGATTCCTCAAGTAATAGCTATCGAGGAAGCAGCACAAAAAGCACTTTTCTCTTTTTCCATCCAGTTTCTGCAGTATGTGTTTTATCTATTTTGAAGTTTTGTCAATTTTAGTTTTAGGTATCAACAATTGTACCTTACTCTGCATAAGATAATCATTACAATTCATTAATATTTTGTCATTGAATGAACTCTGACAATTGAACCCCATAATATATTTATTTACTTCAAGAAACCCTAGTTTGGGCAAGAATATTTAGTTCGAGATGGCATACCCAGGTGATTTAAAAAATATATACTCAGCCTAAGGCCACAGTGAGGATTCTATTTATTTTCATTATTGTTGAGCTGGGTAGTTTCTTATCAAACTACCAAATTTTAGCCCGCCCGTAAATCTCGAAAATCACTTAGAAAAAAAAATAATTACGAAATGTATGCCGGTTCGGGCCCATTTCCTCTATATAATTTGCAGATTTAAGATTCAGTTCATGTATTTATACAGTGTTATACTAAACAAAATGTTAGTCAAGGAAATATTCCATATTTTCCGAATTCTATGATAATATCGAGAAAGTTGCCAAATTTATATTATTTGATGATGATTTCCACTAACCCATCGACATAGAGATAGGTACTGGAACTTCCTTGTGCTAGTTTCGAGAAAAACCAATAAGAAATAAAGCTAGCGTCAGTCGAGTAGGTACCTGAGTGCAGGGTTGCTCAAACAAATGATCTGGGTTAATCGATGAGGTATAGAAGTGTTCTATACTAGGGGTTGAAATGAATATGAAATCAAACACCCTTATCTTATAGATTACTGAGTATTTTCAAAAAACAACGTAATCGTTACATGGCTTATAACATACTGATGTATTGAACTTATTCTACAATATATTGGAATTTCAACATTTCCTGTAAATCTGCCAGAATAGCTAAATAGTCGTATTCAATAAAGTCAATGTACCTGTACATCAAACAACTTACAGGGTTCATTAACATGAATTCATCGCATACATAACAGGAAGATTCAGGTTTAAGAAATACTATTCTTCAGATTTTCCGGGATTATCTATAATCCTTTGAAAATATATTGGATTGATTTCTACCTTCTTCGACATAATATAGGCGAATATTTGTAGGAATAGAATTGAAGGTCATAAGTATATAAGTGTACTCTCATCTGGTTGACTGATGAATATGAAAAACAATTGATAATTGTCCTCTTAGTAATCATGTCGTGAGTAATCACATAAATGACTCACAAGAATTATTCTTCAGGTCGTGCTTCCTCCATGTCTTCTGGGTATAAAAATTGATTCGATAATAGATGACGAAAAAAGTTCAAGAGCATTGATGCAGCTTCGTGACTATTGAACATCTGTTACTGTGAAAGAGGTAATACAAAATGATTGCATTTCAACAACTCGATAGATTGCTAGCAAGGATAGCAAAATCAATTGAAGGGGGTATTTCAAATATATGGAAAAAATCTAGATTTTTCTTCAAATAGGTTGATTGAGGATTGGATTCGAATACATATATATCAATTATGAATTCATCTAGATTTTCCGATTTTTCTCCTCGGTTCTGATGTGAATAGAAATATAAATACTATTACAAACGAGCAAATAAGGTATTATATAGCCCCAGAAAGTCACTACGCTGTGAACTTAATGTTATACAATAATTTCAATTAGGAGATTAATTTTCAATTGTCAGATCAGACACACACTGCATTATACTAGCCTTGTCCATCTAAAGAACATAGTATCGATTTTTTATGTGAGTTATAGATGAAAATGAGAACCAGATACAGATATAAAAGAAGACATATCATATCGACAAATCAAAATCAGTTGGAAATATATCCTGATTGAGAATGGACAACATGAAATAGCAGGGTGGAATGATATTGAGATCATTGGAAGAGATGATAACGAACAAAGGAGAGAAATGACAAAAATAATTCTCTTGCATTCTTCTGAACGTAGACGATATGACTCTGTTTTATGTCAGTTGATATAGGAAGGTCACAGTATTCAAAAGTATAATCTGAGCATGAAAATGGTAAATTCAAGATCAACTACTGAAAAACCATGTCGCTCACACATTTTTCTGTTGACTTTTGTCACTCACAAGTGTCAGATGACGAAAACGAAAAGAGCAATTGCAAGAATAATTTTCCATTTTGATGATTAAAACGGGAACATATTTGTTCCCGAGACGTCCAGAGCTGAATGAAAATTTGATATTATTTCGATATACTTATACCATAGATTAACGACTCCCCTAATACCAATTCTACTTGTTTTTAGAACAAGGTGTCATTGACTATCGATAGATTAATTTCTACTTATTATGGAGTTTAATCTTTTTGAAGTGTACTAAAACCCAATCTATTTCAATGTCGCAGACTGGGATTGATTGCTGACATGCAAAAGTCTCCCACTTCTACCAGTACCTGTTAGCACAGTGTTAATGGGTTCTGCTTTGTATGATGTTTTCTATCCAAATTTCTTCAACAACATCACGACAATATCTAATGCGTTATATTATACTGAAAAGTTCGACTACACTTTCACTTTTTGCTCAATTAACGGGACAAGTAAGGTAGATAATCATATATTGCAATTATTACATAGAAAAAAGTATCATGGTAATTATTCAGTCGTAGCCAAATAATTACAGTGGATACTGAGTATAGATACGATATAATCAGTCAAATGGAGTTGGATTTAACGTTTTCACCTCTGTCAACTTAATATAGTCATAGTTATAGCACAGTTAAAAGAATATATATATTGTATATTCTTTTAACTGTGGTTATAGTCTAGGAGCTAGCTCACTGGCCGTGCGTGAACTTATTATGGTCGCCTCAGTTCGATTGCAATATGGAAAAATATTTAATGGAATAAAGTATTGAGATCGTTTAGAAGCCAATACATTTGCACAAATTTCATCAGATATTTACGCGATGTCTAAACAAGTATTGAGCTGAACCACTCCACATTGATTTGTCCCCAGTTTTCACTTTACAAAATGATATCACCGGCAAAAAAAAGCAAGCAGATAATTTTGCTAAATAGATTGCCCATTGTTTTTTTATGCTGGTCCGATTCAGTGGCGTAGCTGGGTGTCCGCAGTGCTCACGGCGCGGGGGGGCCCCGAGCTTCGGAGTTCCTCGGCCTGGTACCCGTTCGCCCTCGAACAAATTAATATGAAATTCAGTTCCAATCGTACTGGGAATTCCCAAGAAAAGGCGCTTTGTATATCGGACTGGGAATTTCCAAGAAAGGGTGCGTTTTCATTGTTGCGGCCAAAAACCCAAAATACCGTTCGGCACAAATTGTACACAGATATTTCTCAAGTCTTACCTAGTTCCTTTGTTTTTTATTCACACAGTTGGTGTTTACCATCGAACCTAAGGAGTATTGCGAGATTGGATAGATATAGTTCAGTTCGATTTATTCAAAAAGTTATAACGCGTCATAAATATCTGCGCTCGACAATTTCGAACTCATGCCTGATTTGTGCACTTTTTTGCATACCATGATTACTCTCAGTTAGATTCAAATAGAAGTTAACTCATTGTGCTATGAGGGATTCAATTCTACAGATTGATTTCAATTCATCTCAGAAGAAACCTCAATGGAAATTAATGACACTGAAATTGACATTCTTGTTATTAAATCTGATTTCTAATCAAATTCGAGCACAAAAGCAGACGTTGATGCAGCTGATTCCACCTTCTTTGAATCAAACACTACCAACATTTTTCAAGCTGGGGAACCAAACATTTATTGCATTGTACCATACCGAAATGAGCATGGTGAAATAATACTCGCAGATCGGACTGTCGATCTTTCTGATTCGGCTCAATTATTGCAGACTACTAGGCATTTCCCTTCAGATCGAGGATATTATACAAGCTTGCAAATCCCAGGTGATGAATTGAAAAGAGACATTATAAATTATGGTCCTTGTAAGCCGAAAGGACCATTTTCTAAGGACTCTCATGATATAAGCTTTTCCGCAGACCATATAGATTAACGACTCTATTAAAACAAATGATTCTAGTCTCATATTACCAATATATCGAAGACTGGAACCTTTGGCACGATAATCTTACTATGTTAGCATCTTCAGGAGGAGATTAAAACTGTGCTTATCAAAGGTACTTGATAAAGCCTATTGCGAGCTCTGTTGGCTTTTTGGAGATCGAACAAATCCTTTTTTTCGTTCTGTATGGGTTGAAGGAATTTAAATGAATGGCAAGGAATTTCGAAAAAAATAAAAAAACACGCGAGTGCTCAGCATCATTCTGAATTTTAGAACAATTTCAGCTTCTTTATGTTATGTGGAAAAATAAAAGAACTATTGACAGTTTATTGAACAAAGGCTCGAAAGAAAAGATCAATTTTTGGAAAGAAGTACTAGAACGCATAATTCACGTTATTTTAATGTTATCTAGTTATAATATGGCTTTTCGTGGTCATCGTGAACAGAAGGCGAATGAGTATGATGTACATAATAGAGATGAATTTTTATCAGTGATTGAACTTCTATAGCAAAATATGATGGCGTGTTGTACACCCTCTTGAACTTATTTCTTTACTGACAGTACAAGTAAAAAAGGATATTGTT